TGATATAGCTTTTTTAAAAAAAAAAATCACAATCGGATTTGGGATGGGAAAATTTTGTAATTGAAATTTCGACCTCTTTCCAACTAGCCAGTGCACTCAAATCTCTTTTTGTAACCTGTATGCATGGTGGCAAAATAAAGGTTTCATTGGTATCATTATAGCTACACAGGAAGACTTTTATCAACAAATATAATATTTTGTTAGTCCAAAGTTTTGATCGCCTTCCGAATAACTTTGGTCCTCTAATTTAAACTGTAGCTTTGTGACTGAAAACAATATAAGTTTTAATTCGTTTCTGACAAGCAGAATTTGTCTCTATTTTCTTACCTGAAATTTATCGTTACTAAATATTTTGACCACTTTTTGACTAACTAGTGTGCTTAAATTTTAAACGGAGTTCTGTTGGATGACAATACAAGTATCAATCGTTTTCGGAACAACTCGTAACAGATTTTTTTAAGCTATTTCAACGTCTAAGAAAGCTTAATGCCCATCGAAATTTTGATCTCCTTCCAACGAGCTGTCGTGCTCAAAATTCTAGCTAGTGTCTCATACTAATCCAATTTAATGTTGTTTTTTTTAAATAATGCGAATAAAATTAAAGGCGATATTATCACTACTTTATTTATCGAAATTTAAGTAGGAACTCATAGAAACTTACAGACATAAAACTAAAATAAAAATTTTAAAAACTACTTTCTTAAAATTTTTTAAATTGGAAAAATGTTTTAATTTTTGTCCCTCGTAATATGAAATTATGCGTTTTTGCGAATAATAATGCCATTTTTAAAACTGCTGTGATAAAATCTGTTACACATAACTGTTAGGTTAAGTTTAGCCTTTCTGATGAAGCCCAATATAGTGAAAAGCCACAGTTTTGTGAAAAGGAAAAGCCTTTGTTGTCTAATTCTTTTATATTTAAAAACTTATTCCAATGCTGCATTATTTGAGCTCCTAAAAATTTGAAAAAACTGAGAATACGGCAGTGATTTTGATAATTTTTATCTAGGTGGAAAAATGTCGCTAAATTGGAGATTTTTTAAAAAGTTTAATAACTTTTTAAATATTTAAGTTATTTGTTCGTTCTAAAGCCCAGATAATTCTTTGCGGCAAGATTAGCTTAAAATCATAGCGTTGAGTGTAAGGCACTTAAACTATGGTTTTTTTATTTTCCTTGGAGACCGAACTTCGAAAAACAGCGTGTAAAATTATTAAACTTCTATAAGAATATTCAAAAAATTACCAATTTGGCGACAGTTTTTCACCAAGATGAAAATTATTAAAATCATTGCCAAATTCCCAGCTTTTGCAAATTTTCATGAGCCCAGATAATACAGCATCGAAGTAAGTTTTTAAATACTAAAAAAATATTCAACAAACATTCTTATTTTCACAAGACTGCGGGTTTTCTCTCCATGTTGACGGTTTTGCGCCATTTTCAGAATAAGTATAGAGAGCGCTGTTGATAGATGGGGTAAACTTGGCTTAACAATCATGAGTAATTGTTGCAAACTCCAAGCAATTGTGAAAATACTGTATTACTCGCAAAAAAGCATCATTTCATATAGCGATAGAGTCTTTGAAAGGGACCAATTCTAAATGTACCGTTTTGAAAAAAATACAATACGGGCCGCTCTACAGGGCCGCAAGAATGCAACTACAGAGTTGAAATTTGGCATGCTGAAAGGGCCACATTTCACACAGAGCGTTTATCAAAATTTCAATGAGATCAAAAGTTATTGCAATTTTAAATATTTTTGTTTCTTTTCTTTCTTTTTTTTTGCTTTTTATGAATCAAAATCTATAAGATTTAAAATTACGAGGGTGTGTAGAAAAATTATGGGAAGAAAGGTGAAATAATAATAATAAAAAAATAAAATATCACATCTTACAATTAGTTTGAGAACTATTAATTATAAACTTGCAGCAAAAAAAAAAAAAGAAGAAAAAAATCATGTTGGTTGATTTATTGTCCATAAGAGTATTTTTTTCTTCTTCCGAAATACCTATTTGTTTGAAAGTTATTGCACATTAAAGTGCTTTTTCGTGATTACATTCAGTTATTTTGCTTTAAACATTGACTATTAATCCATTGTTGTTGACAATTTATGTTTCCCTCACAAAATCTTTATTTTATAGGCTGGTGCTCGAGGTGTCAATCAAGAGTAGCAAGAGAGAGTGATTACCTTTTGCCAGATCTTAACACTTAAAGTGAATTTTTTAAAAATAAATAAAATAAATAGCGTTAAAAACCGTTCCCTATTAAAATTGTAATACTCTTCGAGGAATAAATAAATATACTTCACATTTATTTCTTCCCACAATCTATATTCATTTAAATTAAATAGTATAGGTATAGATGATAATTTTTTAATTACGAGGTCTTGGAATGAATGACGGGGTGTTTGAATAAGACTTTTCGCAAGGTCATAGTTGAACTTGATCCTGAAATTCTTGAAATTTGATTGCTTCAGTCAAAGTTAAAGCAAAAGAAAACAAAAAAAGCACAATTTTTTGCATACAACGATTCAACGTAAGGCATTTAAATTTTTAAAGCAATAAAGAACTAAGTTTTAGAAATTTTGATCAAAATCTCTTGAGCTTAAAATATTTAACAAGTTATTATCCCCATCAAAAATTTTATGAAAAATTAAAAAAACAAATTTGCGGATGAATTTGCAATAGTAACCGAGAAATTTTTTTTTATTCCAATAGAATTGGAAACTAATTAAGTCTAACACCAATTATGTGTTAATACAATAATATATTTTGATTAAATTGAACAATTTTTAATTTTAATAAACAATAACGCGAAACAATAAGGAGGCAATAGAGCCTCCAATTTTTTTCCAACACGTTTTAGGCTTATTACAGCCAGTCCTCATACCTTCAAAAATATATATATTGTTTATTTAGCTTGATTTATTTCAGGTATTTCGCAATAAGCCCAGAGTAGTAAAGCCTTATTGTAGCAAATTTACCAATTAAAATTCAGTCCCATCTTATAGTTCAGTAAAGGCATATAGGTTAATTGTGATTAGCATAAAAATATCAAGCATGCTAGAAAATACCGAAGACGCTTCCAAATAGCTTGGTCCATCACAAAATGACGGCTATATTTACAATGTGTCGGATTTTTTTTTAACGAAACTAAGACATAATACATAACGATTTTAGATTAAAACAAAAATTCAGTTTTTAAATCCTAACCATTTAAATGGTACATAAAAAGTTCATAAGTACATAAAAGTACATAAATATTGAACCATTCACAACCCATCACAAGAACCATTCTAACCAATCGTGGTTGAGTAAAAATGAGATTACTGAAATCTAGAGTCTTGGTTTGAAAGTTAATTCTAGGTGTATTATTATTTTTCACTTTTAAAAAATAAAATTCGTTTTTTTACACCATAGATCGACTGCTTTATCTATATTGCAGTGGTTCCTAAACGGTGTTCCGCAGAAGATTTACAGTGGTTCCAAGAATTAAGACCTTTTTTTTTTTTTAAGCCAGCAATGATTTTGGAACTTTTAATTATATCTAATCAATAAGCCATTATTTATGTAATATTTCGGTAGCCTTTATGAAATGATTTAAACTAAATTCCCATAAAAAATAAATTGCACCATTTTAAAAAAAGAAATATATAGTTTTTTTTCTAACAATATTTCGAATAAATTATAAAAGAAACATGGATTTCAAAAAAAAAAAAAATATTTCATTCGCATCTTCCACCGAGCTTTGGAAATCAAACTAAAATAACTAAATTTGCTAATAAAGAAATATGTTTCTCTACTAACCATTTTAAATGTTTATAGCCGCGTTTTTTTCTTCTTTCCACTTTCATTAAAAAAAAAAAAGAAAAAAAACATTATTCAGCTTATTTTAATCGTTTTCAGTTTATGTAAATACACCAAAAACCAATTCAGTACTAAACAAGACAAAGCTTCAGGACTGCGAATTTAGCTAAAGGGAATAAATTCTAATTTAAAATTAATGATAAAACAATGTGAAAAATTGATTCGTCTCATTAAATAATATCAAAATAATTTTCAATAGAAACTAAATTGTCAACTCAAAATTAAAATTAGGTAGGCTGTTTAACGACGGTTAGAAAATAAAATATGAAAAAAAAAGCATTTATTGTAATTCAGTGTTATTTTTTCGGGCGCGTGCGCCCTCATATTTCACGGGCACCCTGTCCCCCCCCCGTGATGCTTGGGTTACG